AAGCTACAATAGCTAACCCAGAGCCCCATGTGCAGGATGGCAGGGAGGGAGGGATTTTTGGAGGGTTCAAAGCTATTTTCCCCTTGGAAGCACATGTCAGAGCATTTGTTCCTTTATCAGCCTTCCACATGGGCGTCAATGAGATGACAGGCAGCTCAGTGATGTCAGACTCAAGCACTGATGGGTGGCATGCCCTACAGTGTCCCTCTGTTTTAATGTGGATTACTTTCCCTCATGAGAACTAACCAGGAATTTATATGCCCTCTACTTTGGGAAAAAATATGATGGTGGAAGGAGTACGTTTGGCTGCCCATATAGATCTGCCATGTCTAATGTGCTGAGCACAAAGCACGCCACATTCTACCTTTCCCTCAGCCCTTTTATCCCCTCTCCAGCACCTCTTTCATTTCCAGGGATGAGGATTCTCCACCACTTCTCTGGTCCTGAAGGTGAAGAAAACTCCCACTGAACCGCTGGGCTGCATCTCATGCCCATTCTCTCTTAATCCTCATTATGTACCTCTAGGAAGAGTTTGGCTACATCCTCATCCTTTAGGTGATTGTTTTCAGAGCATTTCTGCATTCCATCAAGGCCACTCTAGTTCTGATGCTGCCATTCATTCCAGCTGGGCATTCCTCACAGGGCTGGAAGCATCCTCTCCATTCTGTCCTGTACATCAGGAATCAAAACTCAAAAGAGCATCGCTCTCAGGGCAGACCTTTCTGAACAGCCTCTTCGTTTGACAGAGAGCTGGTTAGCTCACTGAGAACAGCCCTTCACCTACCTGCACCCTCATCCTCTTAAGTCTAGAGTATATTCCCTCAGTTTGCTCAGAACGTCCTGATGCACTTGTGTTAAAAGCCTTAAAGTCAATATATTTCACATCTATTGTTTCTCTTTATCCAGTGGGCCAGTTACTGTCAAAAAAAAAAAAAAAGAATTGGGCTGATTTGAAATGACTTGTTTCTGACAAATCCCTGATGGTTCTTTTCCATCACCTGGAGATATCATATGTACTTATAAACTGAAGGCTTTGTACTTTGTTCTTTCTTCTTTCTGCTGTCAAAGCCAAGCTGAGCCAGTGATGCCATTTACCCCTCTTACTGCTGTCTCCACACTGCCCTTCTTCAGACCCTCCCTGCTTCCCTAACATGAGTTCTGGAAGATACGGCTCAGCTCAGAAATGAAAGCAGCTGGTGCAATGCCTCCTACATGTCCTGCTTCACTCATCCCAGGGATGCCTGGCTCCACAGCAGAGCTGCTCCAGCCCTTGCAGCATCTTTGTGCCTCCTTTGAACTTGCTCCAGCAGCTCCACATCCTCTGAGCTTCTAAATCCTTCTCTCTCACCCTTGCAGCCCTACAGTCATTCTTGATGTCTTACAGGTATCCCTTGGCAGCAGCATCATGTCCGGACTGATTTGCAGCGAAGCCAAACAGCCTGAAAGCCAAAAAAGCCCCATCGGCATTTCCAGAACATCCCATATCCAGGTCACTGACAACATACAAACCTCCTATGTCATATCTCAGGTCAGCAGATGCATGCCTCCATCCTGCACAGGAGGGATGCTGTGATAACCAGACCACCTGCTCCTAATGCTTTGTTCAGGTCTGGCTGAAAGCCTCACGGGACTTGGTCCCTTCCTTGGCTGTGAAGGATCTGCACCAACCTGCTAACACAGATCAGCAGGCAGAGAATGGTCATTTCCCATGCCCGAAGTCACAAGTTCCCAGTCTCCTCCATCATGGAAGTCTAGATACAGAAGTCCTTCTGGCCCCACATTTTGCTGACCCTCCTCCTCTGCATCACAGACCTCAGGGGTTTTTGTCTCTTTAAAATCCCTGCAAAAACCTCATCACTCTTGTGCTCATCCTCCCCGCAAGTGCAGTCTGCTCCTTGCCCCCACAGCTCCTTCCTCTGCCAAATCAGCATCTCAGCCAGCACTAGCTTCCCAGCCGGGAGCCCACCATCACCCCCAGCTGTGGGAGAGACACCAGCCTCTCTCGCAGTCACAGATCACTGGTGCAAGCCTTTTTAATGAGGGGCCACCAGCTGGGAGCCAACCAGCAGAAGCATTATGAGGAGAAGCCTCTGGATGATACCAGAAGAAAACAGAAGCAACAAACTAGATTTAAGGAAAACAAACCACAAAACAATGGATGAGCAAGCAAGATAAAAGGAGAGGTAGGTGGACAGAGGAATCTGGCAGCTAACACACCCATACAGCAACTGCACGTGAGCTGTGGGTGAATCACAGAATCAACCAGGTTGGAAAAGCCCTTTAAGCTCATCAAATCCAACTGTTCCCAGCACTGCCCAGGTCACCACTGCCCCATGGCACTGAGGCCTCGTCTCCACGGTGTGTGAACACTTGCAGGGACGGTGCCTGCAGCCCTGCCCTGGGCAGCCTGTTCCAATGCCTGAGCACCCTCTGGGGCAGGAATTGTTCCTCAGCTCCATCTAAACCTGCCCTGGGGCAGCTTGAGGCTGTTTCCTCTTGTCCCATCCCTTGTTCCTTGGGAGCAGAGCCCAGCCCCTCCTGGCTCCATCCTCCTCTCAGGCAGTTGTAGGGAGCCATCAGGTCCCCTCTGAGCCTTCTCCACACTGAACCCCCCAGGTCCCTCAGCTGTTCCCCATCACCCCTGTGCTCCAGGCCTTGCACCAGCTCCAGTGCCCTTCTCTGGCCCCTCTCCAGCACCTCAATGTCTCTCTTGGAGTGAAGGGCCCAAAACTGAACACAGGATTCGAGGTGCAGCCTCAGCAGTGCCCAGTGCAGGGGCACAATCCCTGCCCTGGCCCTGGTGCCGCACTGGTGCTGATCCAGGCCAGGATGCTGGTGGCTTCTTGGCTGCCTGGGCACAAGCTGCTCACGTTCAGCTCCGTCAATCAGCACCCCCAGGTCCTATTCCATGGGCAGCTTCCCCAAACCTGAGTGCTGAATCGGGTTGTGGTGCAAATGCAGGACTTGGCACTTTGCCTTCTTGATACTCATGCAGTCCTACACCCCATCAACCAAGGAAGAAAGGAGAGAGAAAACCACCAAATCCTCCTTACCTAAATGAATGGAAACCAGTGAGCAATCCTCACAGAAACTCCTGGAGGGAACACACGCAACACAATCATCACAGAAAAAGCTGCTGCCCCCCAACAGTCTGAACAGGAAGGGGAATAATTCAACAACAATTGTCTCCCCTTGCCCTGTGCCAGCATGTGGCTCTTATGTACCCTCAGTTTCTTCACCCAAAGAAGGAATGGTGTTGTAGGGAATGCTGAATATCAGCGACAGAAGCAGGAGAGGCTTGCACAGGCCTGTGTTGTGCCAGGATTGAGAGACACATCGGTCTTGTCGGATCAAAATCCAGCACACTGAATCCTGCTTTTTTATACCCCGAGCTGCGAGAAAGGCAGCATGCTGTGCTGTGCTAGCCTGGCCTTGCCCCGTGTTCTGTGCTCATTATGCAGTGACGGTGGCTGTGCTGGACTGGGTCGCTCTGGTTTTCTTGATCAGCTGCAAAATAAGGTGAAACAAAATTTTTCCTACCCTTGTTGAAATAATGTATTTAAGGAACAGATATTTATATATGATCTATGTAATGTATAGAAGTTTATGTATTGTGTACATAAATCGAGGTCCCGTGGCTGGGACAGGGCAATCCCTAGCATAAACACAGGCTGGGGTAGACTGGATGGAGCAGCCCTGAGAAGAAGGACTGGGCGCACTGGTCAATGAGAAACTGAATGTGATCCTGCTTCAGTGTGCACCTGCAGCCCAGAAAGTCCCTGTGTCCTCCTCTAATGGCTGTGGAGAGATTGTGGAGTTGATCCAGAGCGGGATGAGTCAGACTTGTCCTCAGGGAATGTGCATGTCTGAAATGCTCCTTCCCTGGAGAGGAGCCCAGCAGCCTCGCTCTTGCGATACCTCACTTGCTAATACTTCAGGAAAGCATGGCTCTCCCATCACAATTGCAGTCTCTCTTTTTTCCCAAGCTTATTTGTTTCTTGAGTACAACAAGGAAAACTGGGCACTGGGGAGTGTCAGCATGCACACATTTATCACTGAAGAATACCGGGTCCTCATTTCCTAAGCTTTCAGAAAGAAAGGACCAATTCTCTTGTTGAGCTTTCGAGCAAATCTGTCTTATATAGGGCTGAAGAAGTACAGGACTAAACTGCATCATTTGGGTTGGTGAACACTCTGGAAGACATTGGACCTGGACAGAACATACAGCACAAGGGCACCCAGAAGCAAAACTATGGATCCAGTCTTCCCCTGCTTCTCTGGGGAGGCACAGAGTTTTCACAGCAGCATTACTGGCATGGTGAGAAAATCAACTGTCAGTGAGTGGAAAAAGAGCAAAGGACACATGATGGGTGTGAATTTGATGTTATTCACTGGGCGAAGGTTTGAACTTGCTGAAATTTGCCCATCTTCATTTGGGCTGTTCCCAAGCCCCTACCCCAGCCCAAGCCCTACATCACAGCAAAGCAGGCAGCACCGATTGCCGTGTTTTGCCATCCCAGGCAGAGAAGCCAGTTCCTTCTCTGCAAGGACACGTGTGGTGCCAGCGGGTCGGGTAGGACCAGTTAGCTCCTCCTGACATTTGACATCCTCATGCTCTGAACCGTTCCCACCATGGTGAGGTTTGGTCCTGGGATTTTGGTGAGGTCCAGAAGAAGATTGCTGTGTCCTAGGAAGGATCACGAAGCCCAGAGGTGAGGCATTTACAAGTAATGTAATTCTCTAGTTTCCAAGTCAGTCAGGAGTGTTCTGAAGAGTATCCCCATTCCTACTTTTCCAACCTGAAAAGATTGACCAGTGCTGGCTGTTCTGATGATTCAGTCCCCAGAGAGCTGTTATTTTTCTGCTGCCAGAGTTGGGGGATTACAGGAGACGCTCAGTCTTGAATGAAAATCACATCAGAGCCAAACTTGTGACTGCAGAGGAAAGCTGGAAACACCATTCTGAACAGCTAAAAAAAAAAAAAAAAAGAAGGAGGCAAATAAACAGAGTTGGAGTTTATTAATTTTTAAAATCTCATTATTTTTGGACAGCATAATGTTTTCTGAGACCTGAGTCAAGTGTTCTGAGTGCCGGGAGTTGGTGAGGGAGCTGTGGAGTGTCTCAGTGCTCTGCTGCCCACGTTCATTGCAATCAGATAATGAGCTATAGACAGACTTGTCTCAAAGCCACCGTCCACGGTGCCTGTTCCCAGACTGTGTCTCTGCTATGCTGCTGCTGCGTGTTACTTTCTTAGTGCAAGAGCGTGCTTGATCTCCACAAAGGGGTTGTAGGAGGAGTTGAATCAGAGTGGCACATACACACTGAGCATCCCAGAACCTGAAATTAGGTGTTAGAGTAAGGAAATTGTTGGCTCTTTTCCTGGCTCACTTGGTGCCAGCCTCTGCAGCCCCACATCCCCCTCTTGCCTGAGCCTCATAGGGGAGCAGGGCAGGGCAGGACCTGGCATTGCTGGGGGAGCCCCAGCCGTGGTGTGAGCAGCAGGGCTGAGGCACAGCAGCACAGAGCTAATGCACTCCCCACCTGTGACTTGTTCACAAGGACATACTGTGGGCTTCCTCCTGTGTCTTCCTTCCTTTCGTCAGTGTCTGAAGAAGACCATGAGCAGCTCAAAGGAGCCCCTGCACAGGCGAGGCACCGCAGTGTGTTCAGATACAGCATGCAGGAAGTGCATCCCTTCCCTCACCTCACCCAGAGCATCCCTGGGAGCAGTTTAGCTGGCAGAGCTCTTGGGTAAATGTCCTCAGGTGACAGCAGTGAGTGGGATGACTCAGAGATCTCCACGCTGCCACAAAATGATCTTATTCTGCAATCTCCATCTCCTTCCTGAAACTCATGCCCTGGTATGAACAAGCAGGGAAATGAGGAGCCTCTTCAGTGGGAGCTGCCCTCAAGGCTAGTGCAGTCTGAGCTCTCCTGTGTCATGCTGCAGCACGTTGCTCACAGGTAGCTCAGGGTGTTTTGCTGGAGAAGATTATTCAGGGTACAGGGTACATGCTTCTATCAGAGTCTTTTGAATGCATCAAAGGGAGGGGTGAATGGTCTTGAGTGAGGGGTGAAAATGAACTGGAGATGATCACATAAGACATGAGGAGCATTGTGCAATTGAAAATGGGGTTTGAGGTGAGCATTAAACATTTGAGCAGAGTCAGGATTGATTTATAGATAATTTCTGAAAGAAAGGTGTGGAGAAGGGAGCAGAGAGAAAGCTGCACATTTCCCACCTTCATCTTTGTGCCCAGTAGTCTGCCTGGTGCAACCGGGAGAGTCGGATCCCTGCCCATCACTCATGTATCGGTCAGGAAAATGGGCTCAGCAGCATCCTGTCCCAGCCTGGTGCTGCTCACCTTCATTCTGAGCCAAGTCCTGTGCCTGCAAGGAAACACACGGAGCCCATGGCATTGTGGTGTCTGTAATGGCAGTGAAATAGGAGCTCTGTACAGCCCAAGGCTGAAAAGCATTACTCAGTTTGTGACATTAAATTTAGCAGCATGGTACCATGTGTGCGTGTATGTGTCTGATCATGATGGCAGTGTACCCCTATAATTTTTGTCATTCTAGTATAAAGCCAAAGGCACCTTATTGGCCTGACAGTGAGGAGTCTCAGGACTGGTCTGGTCTTGCCTTGGTTTGCGTTACTTTTAGCTTGTTTCAACAACTGCCTTCTGCCTGGAGAAAAGAAGGCTCCAGGGAGACCTTACAACAACCTTCCATTACCCAAAGGGAGCCTGCAAGAAACCTGGAGAAGGGCTTTGGACAAGGGCCTGTAGGGACAGGCCAAGGGGAATGGCTTTAACCTGCCAGAGGGGAGACTGAGCTGAGCTCTTAGGCAGAAGCTCTTCCCTGTGAGGGTGCTGAGGCGCTGGCACAGGGTGCCCAGAGAAGCTGTGGCTGCCCCATCCCTGGCAGTGTTCAAGGCCAGGTTGGACACAGGGGCTTGGAGCAAGCTGCTCCAGTGGAAGGGGTCCCTGCCCGTGGCAGGGGTTGGAGCTGGAGGAGCTTTAAGTTCCCTTCCAACGCAAACCAGGCTGGGATTCTATGACACTGTTTTAACTAAACTCTGTACACACTGTGAATGTTAATGGTTTAACAGATCCAGGTTGCCATGCTTAGTGAAAAGAGCTCTTCATGTGAACTCAAGCTGTGGGAGGCTACTGTGCATCTTTCAAACTCTAGCTAGGAGTTGATGAAGATAGAGCATAAAAGAATAACACTGGGGTCTCCCAAACTGAGGCAGAGGAAACTCCACCATGAACATCAGACAGCAAAGGACTAGGGATGCTGGTGGCTCTCTTTGCCTCCCCATCACCTCTCTGCCTCAGGAAGCCTGGCACTCTGGGCAAGGTCTACACACAGACCCAGAGGGACATTGAGAGTGAGCGCAGCACCAGAGAAAAGGACAGATGTTGGGAAGGTTTTTGTATAACAATTTTGGTTATGTTACTAAATAGGGGGTTTTGTATGAATTAGGTGACTTGCACTATTAGATGGCCAAAGTAGTAACCAGACTTGGTTCTGTAGGTATGGTGTCTTCCCTTTTGCTTATAATGAGACTTTTGGTGTAAGAGTAATCTGGAGAAGCAAGTAGACCCTGAGCCCTGGGGGCATTACAGGGTTTGTCGGCTGAGGTCTCCTCCAGCTGCCAGGACTCAGCCCTAGCTTCTCCCAAGCTGTCCTGGTGCTGGCGGGTATCTACATGTCCTCGGAGCTGTCTCTCCAGCTACACACTTCCAATAATTCAGCCCATACTCATTAATGTTGTATTGGCAATTCACAGCCTGTAGCATCTTGTCAGTTATTGACTAAGACAATATTGCAGTACTGCCAGGAACAACCCCAGCCTGGCCAACAGCACTGCTCCCGCTTGGCCAGTGGCTCTGATTGCCATCTGCTGAATGAGCCTGGCAGTTTGCAGATGGTTTGAGAGTCTCCCGGGTTAGCCTCAGCCAGGTTTGGGATTTAGCATCTCTGCATTATTCCAGACTCCCACATCTGGAAGTGAACTAGTCCAGACTGGACAGGTGAGTCCATGAGCATCCAGCTGTGTGCTTGAATGCATCAGCCAAGATGAGTGTGACTGGTTGGCCCAGTAAATGTACAGGCTGCAGCCAGGGCTCTCGTCTCAACCGGGAACATCCATGTCTCACCCTGGACACTGTAGCATGTTTCAGCTTTGGCTGCAAGGGCAAAGTTTCCACCACCTCTGTCCAGCACCATTTGCCAGTGTGCTTAGGAAAACATCTCCCTTGTTTCTTCCCCACTCATCCCACAGCATGAGCTGGGAACAGGGTCAGTTTGGGCATTCTGCAGCTCTCTACGCCCCAGCTTAGCTAACTCCTCCCTCTGCTTTTCTGCCATTTCTAGAATACACCGGCTCTGAGTGACTGATGTGGGTCCTGTGCCCAGAGCTGGCAGCTGAGCCAATGCTGCAGCTGGTGCAGGTGGAGAGCTGTCAGCTCAAGCCAACAACGTCATGAATGAAGCACTGTTTTCCTTGAAACATCCTGAGGCTGCTACTTACTGGGCATGGAAACGCTGGGGTTTGCAGGGCAGGCCCAGGGCTGGTTGTGTGCATGAACACACAGCGTTTCCTACAGCAAGAGCCTGGAAACACTTCAGCAGGAATCATGGCTCCACCGAAAAGCTGGGGCTGAGGGATCAGCCTCTCCTCTCCTGGAGGAGATCCAAAGTGGTATCTCCTCTTTGAGCATCACTGTTCTGTACGTCACTTCCCAGCATGGTACTCTAGGGAAGGATGGACACCATTGGCATGGTTGGCTGATACACTAAGGCTATGATAGGATGCAGTCCTTCATGCAGGCGGTTCAGGACATTGGTCGCTCGAGATTGACCCAGGAGATGGCAGTCTTGCTCGGAAACATCCTGAATGACCAAGCAGCCTTTTCTCCAACTGGATTTGCCTATCCCACATTGCCCTTTTACTCCTCATTGCACTTGTAGTAAGTGTGGGTAAAACCCTTCCCAAATCTTCGTTTACAAAGCCAAGCCATCAATCAGTGATAGGACAGTGATTTCATTTGTCAGCTTCAAAACCAGGCTGTGAGAATTTACTTGTTCCCACCTTGCTTTCAGTGTTTTATGCCTTTCTTTTCACCTTGTCTCCCTAATTGCCCTTCCTAGAGCTGAGCAGGGCTTCAACTCATCAGAACTGGAAGGGGAAGGAGACAGCATTCCCGGTCCCGGTGGGACCAGGACTGTGGTCTCTGCTGGGGGCATGCACTGAGGTGTTCAGACCACACAAACCCCAGGAGAGGCAGTTGGCAAAGAAGATTGTCAGCCACAGCTCCCAGGAAATCCCCCCACCAAACACTGTCCCCATTCCCTGGGGCCAAGCTGGATTTAGTGGAAGAGCAAGGCAGAGTGATGATCCCTTGCCCAGAGGATTAAATCATGCCGTGGTCCTGCTCGGTGTCTGACCTTCACTTCCTACCACCAGAATGATACACCAGGAAAAGGAAGGAGCAATGACCTTCCCATCCCATGCGCTTCCCCAGGTACCAAACCACCTTCATCCCTTGTACCCAGGGCACTGCTGCTCATGTACCCACATGTTCACAGCACACACAGATGGAACCACACATTTGCTAACAGTGATTGTGGACTGCCACAGAATATATACGGACTCAGTCAGAGATCAATATGATCAGACAAAAGCCATTCATTACAAAGCCTTAACTCCTTATATACTGTTTCTTACATGCACTTACAGTGATTTGGCATATTATGACTGGATACATGTCTTGAAGACCCTTAGTGACTAACATATAATTGGTTAAGCACAGGTGTGAGAACTTGACCTCGAAAGCTTGCCAACAGTCCACAGTTCTCATTAACTCGGTGAATTCCAGCTTCTTATCTTGCTTGTTTAGGCTTCCTCGGGCCTCTCATGGCCTTGCTGTATCTTTCAGGATTATTCAGAGTTTATGTACCAATTATCTATTCTCCTGTGAGAACACTGCCTCCACAGTGGACCTTACCTGCCCAGCAGTGAGGATTCAGACTTGGCTGTCGCAGGCTCCCCATGCTGCTGCCAGAGCTGGCAGTGATCTGACAGCCACATGGCACCAGTTCACCTGGAGGAACAAGCAGTGGTTGGACCTGTCAGGAATTACCTGCCCCACATGTTCCTGGCAGGAGCATGATGAACCGTGTTGTAGAGCCCAGCATGTGAGGGTTGAGGATTATTTAGACAACACAAACAGTTCATGTCCCGTGGCTTGTGGTAGTTGTGGTAGGAGGGATCTGAGCCATTTCAGGAGGGCAGAAAGGAAAGGAAAGGAAAGGTAAGGAAAGGAAAGGAAAGGAAAGGAAAGGAAAGGAAAGGAAAGGAAAGGAAAGGAAAGGAAAGGAAAGGAAAGGAAAGGAAAGGAAAGGAAAGGAAAGGAAAGGAAAGGGGAAAGGAAGGAAAGGGGAAAGGAAGGAAAGGGGAAAGGAAGGAAAGGGGAAAGGAAGGAAAGGGGAAAGGAAGGAAAGGGGAAAGGAAGGAAAGGGGAAAGGAAGGAAAGGGAAAGGAAAAAGGAAAGGAAAGGAAAGGAAAAAGGAAAGGAAAGGAAAGGAAAGGAAAGGAAAGGAAAGGAAGGAAAGGGGAAAGGAAAGGGGAAAGGAAAGGAAAGGAAGGAAAGGAAAGGAAAGGAAAGGAAAGGAAAGGAAAGGAAAGGAAAGGAAAGGAAAGGAAAGGGGAAAGGAAAGGGGAAAGGACTGCTTAGGCAGTCTTTATCATCCACCTACACAGAAGTAGTTTTTATTTGCCTCCAGAACTTGAGGGAAGCTGTTGAATAAGCACTGCTCTGTATCCTGAGCTGCAGAAAGCCTGTTTCTCCAGGAACTTTTATTGTGAGATCCATTAGGCAGTTCTTAGTCCATTTATCAAGTGCTTGACTGATGCAGTTTGGTGTTCTTTTCAGCCAGGTTTCCTCAGGAAGCAGGAATTACATGATATTACTGCCTGTCAATCCTGCTGTTGCCACCTTTCCTCAAGTTCAGCACAGAGGTAGAGCTCACAGAGATACCGTGTTCTTACAA